GTTTCTTGCATAGCTTTTGACATTTTCGTCGTTTCCCATGTAAAGAATGAAAAACTTGAATTAAAAAAATTGAAAATTTAATCGAAATTTATTCTAAACTTTGGAGATTTTGTGTTTTGGGGATTTTGTGACACTGTCGCCAAAAAGTGTGGGATTTCGTGTTCGGGGATTTTTATATTGAGGATTTTGATTTTGGGGATAATGTATTTGGGGGTTTTGTTTTCGGGGATTTTGTGGCTCTCCCCAAAGACCGATGACACCACACAAATGACTTCAATGCCTAGATTGACAACGAACAAAGGTATGTTGATTGTTTGGTGGGATTGGAAGGGAATTGCCCATTATGAACTACAACAATACGGCGAAACGATCAATTCGGTCGGTGCTGTGCATAACTTGGCCGTTTGAACGAAGAAATCAAAAAAGAACGACAAATTGAAGGAACTTGGCTGGGAAGTTTTAATGCATCCACCGAATAGCCTGGACTTTTCCCCGACGAACTTCTATTTGTTAAACTCTCAATATGTTAAAAAAAAAGAAGTTGAACGAACGAAGAGACCATCACTTGGCGTAGGTTTTTGCCGATAAACCACAGAAGTTCTACACTGATGATATGAAGCTACTCGAAAAATGTCATAGATAATAATGGTAAAGGTTATAGATAATAATGGCCAATATATCGAGCCCTAACGCCAAAATAACGTAAGCGACATTTTTTTCAAAATTTTATTTTTGATGCAGAAATGCATCTAGATATGCCCCAGAAATATTTCTGCTTCAAAAAGAAAATTTTGAAAAAAATGTCGCTTACGATATTTTGGCGGTTAGGGCGCGATATATTTCATTGAGATTGATTTTCTTTAAAGAAAAAAAAAAGTTTTTCAAATGTACCCAAAAATCCATGGAGACTTTCCTGATGACCCAATACTTATGTATGTTAATTCGAATAGGTTTTATTTAGTGTGAGCCGGACATATAATCGTACTCAAAAAATATTCAGCGGGACAACTATCTTAAAATCCGTACAGTCCTGCTGAAATCGGTGCGAATTTTCGCCGTAAGCGGAACTCTTCTTAGAGCAAAAATTGTTAAAAACTAGCAACTAGCATTTCTAAAGTAAAACTTGATAATTTGACTCATATAGTTTTGTCAAAAATCCATCTGCATACAGTGTCAACGAGCGCTAAAATTTGTTGTATGTACTTCAAAACGTATAACAATTTTCTGCCAAATACCTCATAGGCCTTCTTGCGCGTTGCTGCTACCAAATGCAATGGACCCTGGGCGCGCAACAAGCGTTCGCAATTTATTAGCTGCCACAACAAAGCGTACGTAATTAATCAATGTGCATTGGCTGCACTAATTTAAATAAGTATTTTCCCTAAAATCTAAATCTAAAAGTGTTTTCGCATAAGTGTTAATTGGCGTGGTTGACAACTTGGCGCTGATTGGCTAAACTTTTCGAAATAAATGCAAAAAAAAACCTTTGCCTCAGTAATTGGTAAGGCTTCCAATTTCTAAATTAACTTTCTCGATTGCAGTGTTTTTTGTATACCTCTTCAATCAACATCAACCTCTTAAAGGTATCAATAGTAGAAGGCAGCAGCTGCAGCGCGAAATTATTTACTTGAAGCAATTGAAAATTTAATTGTGCACTTTGTTGAAAATCTGTACGCATTGAAATACACAATTGAAAAAAAGGCGATAAATAGAGGCATATACATATAAAGTTTCGTTGAAAAGTGAAGTAATTTAGTTTAAATATTTGGAAAAATTATTGATTTTTATATAAAAATTTATTTCTGGTGCGAAGAAATTATTTGCTCGAAGGTGCAAGTATTTTTTATAATTTTTTTTTTATTTTTTCAATTGAAAATTGCAAGTGATGTCATAGCTGAAATGTGATAAGCTCTTTCCATATTTGCACAAATTGTGTGCATAGGTATTATTGTCGATTGCATAATTGTATTGCAGCAGCTAATTACAAAGTGGCCAGTCGCCTTGTTAGTGAAAGCCGCCAAAAAAGTAATTCGAAAGCATATCACCGCGTTTTTAAGATTTATTATTTTTGAAGGATAATTTAGTTAAAAACTAAATTTTGACATTGATTTTATTTTTATTTTTTCTAATGGGGCTTTTGTAGTCACAATAACGTTGAAATGCAATCAAAGCACGCACCGATAATCGATTACATAAGTGCAACTGATAACGTTGGTGGTACTTGAAGACGCAAGGTGCCAAATATTCAAACAAAAACAACAAAGGAAGAGTTTAAAAATAAATTCAAGTGAAATTATTTACAAAATATTTGATGGTTTTAATTTAAACAAATAAAAATTTTTCAATTTAACTTCAATGTCATGTAGTATTTACGGTTAAAATTCAAAAATTTAAAGATGGTAAAGACCTTTTATTGCGCTGACATACTGACATTGTATAATTTTTTTATTTTTTCGTAGCTAAATTTTAGCTTATTATATATGCGTAGTAGTTAACGCATCTGATGGATCCTGGACACATTGAAAAGACTAAATGGAGAGAATCTAATACTTAGATTTTAATTTTTTTTATTATGCTTTTTTAACTCTGTGTTATGGCTGGTGGTTGATTTTATTGGCTGCTGTTCGCATTTGAAGATTTTCAAATCATGCCAAAAAAGGGTGTAAAAACAACTCGTGCCCATATTAAGGATGGCAGATCGAAAATAACAAAAAACTAATTTTATCGCTTTGAGTAGATATGCGAAGAACAGAATCGAAATCAATCTCAATAAATCAATTCTTATTTAAGGGGCAACTACCTTAACCATTTTCGTAGTGCACCCTAATATTTTTTTTTTTAATATTAGTTAAGATTTGAGCATAAAAAATATCCTCTATCACGAGAAAACAAAATATTCAATCGGTAACAGAAAAAATCTGCATCAATCTTTTTTAAGTATTGGGTGCCGAAAATTCAGTCTAGTCGGGTCGAATGAAAGTAATAAAAATCGAAGTGGCACCATGGAAACTCTGAAGTTTCGCGTAAACCTGTATTGGTTCTTCATACACATACACACATATCTATTTATTTACTGCCTTAAATGTGTTCGCAATTTTTTCAACTCCTGCACTTGTTCCTTTTTTTCTGAGGGTCTGTAAAATATGTGTATATTATTCATATATTACTTAGTTATATTATAAGTTAGGTTAGGTTAGAGTGCCTGCCACGTAGGCTGAAAAGGCCCGTTGTGATTTCACAGATGGATGCCATTTATTTACAGGAGGTTCGACGTATGCCCGCGTATTAAGCATAATTGATTTCGGATATTTCCGTCCCTCTCATAGCCAGCTCGTCGGCGGTGGTCAGGAATGTTTCTATGCCCAGGGACCCATATAACAGTCAAGGAGCATTTTGATGCCAACAAGTCGAAAATTCTTCTGCAGTATGTGGCTACTTTGAACGGTTTTCCGTTAGATTTTAGTGATTTAGTACCAGTAGCTTGACTCTAAGAATATATCGCTATGGACCGTTTTGGAGGGGTGGAAGTTGATAAGTCACCACAAGCGGGCACCGTTATGGCCTTAAGCTCTGCTTTTAAATCACTACAATGCGCCGGTAAGCGTAGACTGAGCTTAAGTGCGATTTCAGCTGAGTAAATCCCGCTAACCATTCTTTCATTTATCCCCTTCCCATGCGTTATTCTTAGGGATTCTTATGGAGAATTTTTTGTCTAAACAAAGTAGAGGAGTGGTATAATATCGTTGTCGTAGATTATTCGTCAGAGTTTCAGGGAGCTTTGCGTGTTCGTATCTGAGGCCTCTTCACGGCTGGATAGCATTTAACCTGGCAAAACTAGAGTAGGCCACCAATGATATCCACCTTTTGCCTATAGCCCTCTTACAGGCGTACAGGGCGGTTGCATTCCATAATAGCTATTTTAGTCAACTTGTGACGAAATTCGTCAAAATCTCTCAAGTGCTGCCAAGTTTTCCCGTTTGAGCACACTAGTCTTGTCGAAATTTCAAGCAATACCATATAATCCTCGAAACGATTCCACTCTCGGAAAACGTCTTGCACTCGACACAATTCTCGCTAGGAGGCTAAATATAGAAAATCACTTCCAGCAGTCAATAAACCCATTTGGAAAAGTATTTTGTATTTTTCGAAACAGTTTCGTTTATTTGCACAGACATGTTCTACTAACGGGAACACGAATAGTAAAGAAATGAACATTTTTCTCGAATTCCCATCAAAATTGTATTCAAATTGTAAAAGTAGTTTAATTTGGACCAAAGTTGGGGGAATAGTGCTATCAAAAAAGGACTGTAAATGGAACTTTTGCAATAAAACGATTCGAGAGCTACCTGGCGATTTGAGTTTTTGTAAGAATATTTGTGCGATTAACTCGATGTCAGCGCCACCTATCGAGTTTTCTTTCAAAAAAGAAAATTGTTTGAAATTTTAATTTGACTATCGCTACCTACCACATCCAGCTGGGCAACAAAAGGGGTACAATTCCGCATCTTAAAAAATTTGCTCTCCCAAACATATTTACATCGCGCGTTCAATTGTTTTTTTTTTGAACTTTCTGCCTGATGTTGCAACTGAAAGAGACCAAATCTCATTTTCTTTTTCTTTGGCACTAAAATCATTTGACAGTTTGGCTCGAGGCCAAAAACTTCGCCAATTGTTTCTTTCTTTTGAAAAGTTACGGTAGTTAATTGCACCAATTTTGAACAGATCCTTCTAATATCTTCGTGGGGGAGCTTGATTTCGTGGTCTACCCATGAGAGCCGAGTTGAAAAATCTCTTCAACATAGCATCATCGTCCATACGTGCGACACTCCCAGCTTCATTGAGTCTTAGGTAGAAAAGTTGTCACGAAAGCCTTTCCCACTTTGTTTGATATTTTTCACATTACTGCGCCACACATATTATAAGCACAGACATTATACGAGTTTTGTAGCGTGTGATTTCAGATCGTTAGGAAGAGGGCTTTGCTTTTCAATAGCCTACAGATGCCACAGNTGGATAAGAAGCAAGTTGGCGTACCAAGAGAAATACCAAGAGCACAAACCTGGGCTGAACGTGTGCTCCGATCAAGCAACACTGGGTAGTTAGTATGCATTTTCGATTACAAATCTGTCTTTGGGTTTTTTATAGATAATCAATAAAAATTTGCATTTGCATGCGTTTGGCAAAAAACATATGTATTTTAACTTTTCAATATTTTCAAAGTTACTAATGTTTCTTTTTGTATATTGCCTGCGATTTCAGTGGACGCGACCTTGATTCGTACACATCTTCAGGCAAAAGGGATAAGCATCTTGTTCAAACTTTGGCTGCCTCGATTCGCACACATAATTATCACACTAAAGCTTATATTAACCAGAAATATGCACATGTTCTATAAATAAAACAAAATAAATTAAAATACCTATCTAAATACATATGTACATAAACATACATACATACATACATACGTTCATAAATATGAATAACAACTAAAAAGTTAGTTAAAATTGTAGTACAATTTATTTATAAGGAGATGTTTACCTATTTACGTTACAAATAAAGTGGGAGCTTGTCGCTATAATACTCTTTTGATATATTGAAAATCTTTTTATTTCACTGTAATGCAGTAAATTTACCTACTTACTTAGTTAGTACTGATCCTTCAGAGGTGTAATATAGACATTTTTATCAGTAAAAGCAAGAGACTTTGTTTTGAAATAGACCGCGTTTGCAACTTTATTATCGATTAAGTCATCGATATATGCATTTATCGGTATATTCATCGATTTGCTTATCGATATGCCTTCCAAGCGATCGCTACGAGGTTGTAATTCCAATTCGCTGTCTAATCGAACCCAGCCAAAGCGAAATTCGAAGTTCGCTCGGCGTCATTTCG